TTGGAACACTTGTATGCTGCCCCATTCACAAAAGCCTCGGGGCGGCTTCCAATACAAATAAATACTATACAATTATATTAAAAATCTGGAGAGATCCCAGGAAGATATAAAATCAATACATAAATTTAACAATTAAAATAACGTTTAAATAAAAAGGTCTTGGCCTGGCGCCTAAAAACAAGTAACGACGGCACCAGGCTCTCTGGGGTCTTTATTTTATGCATCTGCTGTCTGCTTCTGCTAGTACAGGATGCCTCAGAGAGACAGTGCCTCATGGTCAGGTCTTTTATGGAATACTCCGTGTCCTCTAACTATCAAGAATAGTGAACATTTACTTCCAAGGGGAATTGTGGCAAACCAGGAACACTCAGGAACCCCAGCTAAACCAGAGCTAATACAAATTATCCAGGAGGAAACAGGCTGTAATTCCAGGACTCTGGATTCCCAGCCGCCAAATCCAGCTCACAAAACTGAAGCACAACTGCTTGTTCTAACTCCAGGTCAGGAAGAAAGCCAAGATTTATGACTTCTCATTGACTTCAATGTGGGCAACCTTTTTATGACTGATCTGCCAGTTCAGATCATGAACAGTGAGATTAACTGCATGGGATAAGCCATGGACAGAGGTTGCCTGAGGATACTTTGCTCTGATTTGTGCTCGGACCCACCTTCTTTTTCCGCCACGCTTGATCAACCATCACATCCTTGTCCAGCAAACTTACTGAGCTCTGGCCCAAAACTAGAACAAGCAGGCTGTGCTGGCGATGCGTGGTCTGAGTCGGAAATTAACCCAAGAGATTCTGCATGCACAGGTACGTCTCCATCACTTCTTCCACCAAGCTCGCACCAACAGATGGTGGTTTTATGGCAGAAATCTCCCTTTTGTCTGCTAAAACAGAGACTCTCGTGGATGCAGAACCCTTCACAACTGTTCCTTCTTTCACATTTTTACCACAAAAATGAACGCATTCTGCTTTCTTGCAGGTTCGTGTGTCCCAGGTTCATTTTTTGTTGTTGTTGTTTTAAATTTCATTCCCTGGCTCAATATGAAACTGTAAAAAATATTTATAATGTTATCTGTGGCACCAGTCTTACCACAAAGGTCATGTCGCTTGCCATACGGAACGGTTGATATCATGCTCAGCCACTGTTGACTTTCTGCCTTAGCTCTTGCATATCACTTTTTAAGTTGCTGTTCAAGCGACAACTTTTTCCTGCTCAGGACAGAAAGGCAGTGAAAGGCAGCTTCGTGTGAACCCCCATTCCATGCATTTTGAGCACGCTCTTACAGCGTCACTGTCTTTGTGTTTGGTGCAGACTTTGGTTACGAAAGCATCCCGGCACAGCTACAGGGGGAAATCAAGTGCAAAAATAGCACAATTGTGCTAAAAATTAGCACAATTAGGAAATTGCTAATTGAGGCAAGTGTGTAGCAAGCCAGACATGGGGAAATGTACTTTCACATCCAAAGTCAGAGCTTTCCCCAGGGAGCTCCACTGTGTGTGCCGCTCAAATGCTAATGCCCCTTTGAGGAACTGCTGTGGGCACCAGCACAAAATGGCTTCAAAGGATGTGGCTAGTCACATAATGGCTGTTCAGCAGCCCCGAGGGAGGGGCGGGGAGGGGAGGGGCAGAGTAGCCAGGCTAGTGGGCATCGGGACATGGGAAGCGGTGCCTCTGACCCTGCCCAGTCGTCTCCCAGCCACATGGCTCTGTTCCCTCAGTTCCGCCTCGCCGTGCCCAGCCGCCCTCCCTCCCTCGCCCAGCCTGGCTGCCTCTCTCCCGCCCACCTGCTGCTTCCTCCACTCCTGGGCTCTTGCCCTCTGCCTTGCATTCTCTTCCCGCCTACCGAACAGCGCGAGGAGGCTCAGGAGCAGGAAGGGGGGCCCGCTGCTCTCACGTTGTTTATTAAATGCTGCTCTTCGAAAGGGGCAGGACTTGAGCAAGCACCTTTGGGTGTGCTTATGAGGGCACGCTGAGGACCCCTGCTCTACACCCCTTGTCCACCAGCTGGGGGGACACACGTGCATGCGCACACAAGCACATACTAAAATAAATAATACATATAGGATTTAGGAGGGCAAGCACTCCCATTGACCCCACCCCACTCCAATGAACAGTCATGGCCCTTGGGGCCACAAGGACTGCGCACCTCTGTTCTATATTCTCCTAGTTTCCCCCTTCTCGCATGTCATGAGATCTTTCATGTTACATGCACATTACATCTTTCATCATACGCTGCTCTCTGCTCTTTATGCACCCACTGCTGGGAGCCTGCTTGCAACGAAGAAAAGTTGTCAAAAACGACTTCTAACACCCAGAATTTTCAGTTCACTCTGCTATTTTCCACGTGCCAGATCTCCTGGGTGCTGAGCACTGTCAGAATCCCGGAATCTCAATTTGAGAAGAGGAAATAAAACTCGGGGTCACAGGAAAGATCAATCGTTATGAACCTCCACGTCTTTATTGCCTATCCCAGGTTCCCGCGGTTGACTCACAATAATGCATTACCAGGCTAGCAGAGATAAACTCGCTGCAAAGCTGCAATACCATTACAGGGCATTTATAGGTACACAGGTACAGGGCAATTGATGACAGAATGCAGAGATTACAATAAGATTCTGAGGTCATCACATACAGAACAGATAAAGAAATGTCAGTCAATCACACTGTAACAATGAGATTAAAATATTTCTAATTGCCTGTATTGACACTTTAGTTGAGTAACTTGAACCCATCTCCAGGTCTGCTCAGACATGCAAATTCAAGCTACTAGAAACTATTCATGATAAGCTCAGTCCCTTAGGACTCTAAACATTCTGCATGATCAGGGCACATGAAGCCCTCTGGGCTATCAAAAGATTATTGTAAACTGAATTCCAACAATGACGATTTACAATGTATATTTGGGCTAAAATGGCCTGTCTACTGTAGCTTACAGCTAAAGGTGAGAGAAAGGAGTGGGGGATGAAGGCCATTTTAAATAGTGACAGCTTGGTTTTGAGAAGGAAGACAGGATTTGATCCCACAATGCAAAGGCACACAGGAGTAATGCTTTTCAGACAGGATTTATCCAAATTTTCCCAACAGCACTTCCCAGTATCTCTCTGCCAGCGCATTTACATAGGGCAGTGCACAGTGTCTGTTCTGTAAGCTCAAATTATATCCTGTTGCATTTTCATTGGTTGCTTAGCGTTAGCTAATCAGGTGGGAAGAAAAGCCACTTGATTGGCTGCTGGCTAAATCTCAGGTGCAGACAGCTCTTTTTGCATCTGTGCGCTTTGTATTTCAACTCCTGACCTTTTGGCAAATATCCCTGGGCTTTATCACCACCCGGAATTCATTCAGCTACTTAACTGTTTCTGCCCCGTGACACATATTCCATGCAGTGCAGAGGGAGGCGGACAAGCTGGATGAATCCCCTATGAACTACTGGCATGCCCCCCACCAATGTTGGATTTTGCTCTCCCAAATGGGACTTGGGGGCTTCTGCACAAGATCACAAGCTTCAGTAGAGCACAGAATTTAATTGCCCTCCACAAATTTCTCCTCCATCTCCTCTTTTTTTAATTTATTTAAAACTTTTTCTATACCGTTCCTTCAAAGATGTCTCGGGATGGTTTCCCCCTAAACCACACTGTATGCCATCTCCTCCCTTCTGCAGCCCTGCCGGCACTGCCACCTTTTACTTATCTGCCCCCTTCCTATGACCTCCACCTTGACCTTCCTGCATATATTCCTGGCAGCAGTAGAGGCTGGTTTCCAAAGGAAGTTTAGGGCTGTGCGATGGCCCATCCAGGAAGTCCTGAGAGGCTTGGTACCCACAAAGTCCCATGATGCCGCCAGGCGGTGCAGTGCTTTTAAACAATTTGCATAGTGTAAGAAAAGCCAGAAAAAGGCATTGGGAACCTCAGCTTCTCAAGGTGCTTAAGGTGCGTGCACCTTGCACACAGGCCCATTCCTCTGAAGTGTGAGCCACCAGCCCCAAAACTGCTGCTGGGCCAGGCCAAGTCTGCCTTCTGTTCCATCTCCATTCCTCTTCCTTCCTTTTTATTCTTTCTTTCTTTCTTTCCTTATTTCATCCTGAACAAGCCATGGCGAATTCTCAGGAAGGGATGGGGTGGGCAGTGTCAGGACATGAGCAAAAGCTTTGCCATAATATGGCTGGTAAAAGCCTGACACTGTAAGAAGAGCTGTAGACTTAAGATGGGAATCCTGGTTTTGTTAGAATCCATGTTACAAGTCTTGCTTCCCACACAGACCTTTGAGATGCACATGCTTGCCCAGCCCTTGGATATGCTAGTTGTTTACCTGTCTACAAGGTTCTTTCTGTATTGTATGGTCTTAATCCCATTCAAGCCCTTTTGTTTTATTCTAATGATCCCCACCTGCCTGTTTTAAGACTCCATCTTTGCAGTCCCTTTGGGGGCTGCCTACATGCCACATGCATTCCCTCTATGTCTGCATAAACTGAAAATGTTCTTAGGATGGTACACCCCCCAGCGGACTCTGTGGGTGGCTTTCTTTTTTGCACTCCTGCCAGTAGGACACTTTGGGCATTGCTCTGCCTCGACAGGAGCAGGAGCAGGAGCAGGCCCAAGCGCTTGGGAAACGCAGGCAGTCAGTTCCACTGCATGCGGTGGGGCTCGCTCTGGCCATGCGGCGGCATGCAAATGCCATCAATAAATGCATGCTCAGGGCGCACTCCTACACGGGGCTGGGCCGGAGGCAGCCCTGCAACGCCGCCCGGGGCATCGGAACGCCGCAGGGCTTCTTGCGGTCGGCCCCGCGTGGGCCCCTGCAGCGAGGCTGCCCACCCGAGACCAGCAGCCCACGCCGCCCTCGGCTTCCCGCGCCTCCCCAGCTCTCCGCTGACACACCGGCGGCCCCGCCCACCCTGGCCGCCTGACGGGCGCTCGGCGAGCCTGCCGCCCAATAGGATGCGCCGGGGGCGGGGCTGGGCGGGGCGAGGCGGGAGAGGCAGGAAGGGGCGGGTAGGCGCGGCGGCCCGGCCGGCGGGGAGAGGCTCAATGGCGGCGAGTTACCCGTATGGGCAGGTAAACGGGTGAGAGGGAGCGCGAGCCGCCGCCGCGGGGGCTGATGGGAGCCCTGGGGGCGGACAAGCCCACCTGTTGCCCAGGCGACGGAGCGCCTCCTGTACGCGGCGGGGGCGCCGTTGCGCCGGCAACGGGGCGCGGCGGGGCAGGAGGCGGGGGCGGGGGCGCTGCCCGGGGGGTGCGAGGCCGGGCGGGGGTCGGGCGTCATCTGCGCCTCGCCCTCGCCGTGGCTGGGGAGCCTGCTTCACTCCCAGCGGGGAACAGCGAGCGGCCCGGCTCGGCCTGAGGCCTGCCCCCAGGTTTATGGAGGGGGCGCGGGGGCGCCTGGGCGTGGCTGAGGGATTCGCGGCGCGCCCCGGGAAGGCCCGTTCGGCGCTCGGCCCCGCCTTGGCCGCTGCTTCCCCGCCTGCTGCAGGAAGATGGTTCGCTGATCTGCTTTGCAGGGCGAAGGCGCGCTTGAAGGACCCCTGAGTGGTCCGCGTCGTTGCGCGAGTTGTCGGGGCAAGTTCTTGCGCCCAGCCTTCGTCCCGCTCCTGGGCACCTGGGGCTGCAGCTGCTGGATCTGCGTCAGCAGGGGGGTTGCCGGGCAAGGGAGACGGGAGCGCCGCGGGCAGACCTCTCCTGTGCCAGCTCGGGGGAGGGGGGAAGACAGGATGCCTTGCTTTCAGCCTATTTATTAGATTGACGTCCTGCTCTCTTTCCTACCACAAACTCAAAGCGGCTTAGATCACCCCCCTCCCCCTGCACTCAGTCGTGTCCCCACAACAATAACCCTGTGAGGCAGGTCTGTGACTGGCCCAGAGTTACCCTGTCTTTAAACTGCACCCGATGTAGGTAAATACTGGCCCAGCTAACCAAGTTCTGTCTGGCACCCAGAGCAGAAACCTTTCCTAGCCCTTGTGCTGGCCACATCCCCAGCAACACTCAGTCTCATGGCTATGCTCCTCACATTCTTACCTGGGCGTAAGCCCTGTAGGATTTAAGAAGTCTTACTTCGGGGTAGATGTACCTGTGATTCCATTGTGAGGATAGTTAGAAGGGTTAACATTCCTTCGGTCTTAACCTTGTTCCTCTCTGTGTTTTCTTTCCTAAGCACTTTAGACTGCTTTTTTGTCCTGTAGATTGTGTTAACAATAACGTGTTTTCCAGGGTTACTGTATGGAATCTTTTTAGCCAGCCATTCCAGGACTTGAACATGAGGCTTCTACAAGCAAAGTTGTGCTTTAGGGGCAGTCCTGTTTCACAAAGGAGTAACTTCCTGCCGCACCTCTATACGTGGGAAGAACTGAAGTGACCCAAGCTCAGACAGAGTATTTTAAAAGGAGAGGCCAATCTAGATATGACAAGGGCAACCAGTCTGCTCCAATGGCATATGACCCAGCAGGGAAGAAGTGACCTTCCAAACTTTGGCCTTCAGCTCTCATCACCGTTTGGCCCTGGCTGATGGGTATTGTGGCCCAGGAACATACGGAGAGCCCCACATTCCCCAGCCCTGGCGGTGTTGTGGGGACTTAGGAGGGGCATTCAATGTATTCTCGGTATCAGCCTGAAGAAAAAGGAATAATAAATTGAAATAATTTTTATTTTTCAGTGTAATCCCCCGTAACTTCAATACACGTATTACATCTAGAAATTAACTTTTCAATTCCCTGTAAAAAATACCCTTCCTCCTTGTCTAAAAAATGTGTGTTAATTGCCTCCTTGAGCTCTTCATCGTCAGAAAATCACTTTCCACAAAGATCTTTTTTTAAATTCGGGAATAGGTAGTAGTCACTGGGGGCCAGGTCCGGGCTATAGGGTGGGTGGTTTATTTCTTCGAAACCACAGTCTCGCACAGCAGCCTTCGAAACGCACGCTGTGTGAAGGTCGCGTTGTCGTGAAGAAGCAACACACCTGCGGTCAGTTTTCCCCACCTTTTTTCTTTAACTGCCTCTTTTAAATTGTGCATCTTACGCAGAGTGGTTGCGTAAGATGCTGCGTTTATGGTTTCACCTTTTTTCATATACTTGATCAATAAAATTTCCTTTGAGTCCCGAAACACTGTGGCCATGATTTTTCTAGCCGATGGAGTGACTTTGACTTTCTTTGGAGGGTCAGCACCTTTTTTATGCCACTGCATGGACTCCTGCTTACTTTCAGGGTCATAGTGATGAACCCGTTTCATCTCCAGTAACAATCCGGTCGAAAATACTCAATGAATCTTCACCACAGAGCTCTAAAAACTCTCCACAGCACTCGACTCGCACTTGTTTCTGAGGCGCCATGAGCATTCGTGGCACCCATCTTGCACAGACCTTTGAAAGGTTAAGATGGTCATGAAAAATAGTAAATATGGTACCAACGGACAGGTTTGTCATCTCTGCTAACATTTTGATTTTTATTCGGGCATCTTCCAATACAAGTTTCTCAATTTTTTTCACATTTTCTTTCATACTGGCAGTAACCAGCCCGCCCGAGTGAGGGTCGTCTTCAGTGCTTTCTCTGCCCGTTTTAAATTCACTTGACCACTTTTGAACTGTAGATAATGAAGGTGCAGAGTCCTGATAAATGGCCACCATCTCTTCGTGAATGATTTTTTGACACTTTCCTTGTTTTGTAAGGAACTTAATCCCAGTGTGGTGCTCGATTTTTTTCAACATTGTTGCGCCAGTCATCATGGTCGTCTTTCACTGAGGATTACTAGGGAACTAATGATCACACTTACTTGAAATTTTGCATGTATACCCTCAGATGTATCATTAGCTAATGAAATAATTAAATTACCCACATCAATAGCAAATCAACCCGATACCGAGAATACATTGAACGCCCCTCGTAAGTTAAGGGCATGTTGGTTGTGGGGGAGCTGGCTCGTTTCCCTTTTCAAAGTGTGTTTCTTACGGCATGAGAATGGGGACAGGGTTGGTTTGGTTTGGTTTGGTTTGCCTTGTCAGGTGTGTGGGATGACCAAAGTAGCCTTCTTGCAACTTCTTGCTTTATTGGCTGCTCCATCACAACTGACATTGGTGAACATGCCAAGTTAGGGGAGGGGCATTCCCCAAAGGTAGAGATGAAAATGGGGGAGGGAGGCAATGATGGAAGGTGGAAAGCAAAGCCAGTAAGAAGAGCTGCCTCTCCCAGCTAGGCACCTTCTAGATACATTCTATTACAGCTCCCATATTTCTAGCCATCTTGGGCTGCATTTATCCAAAGTTGTGCAGCTTAGAGATAAGAAGCACAACCACCTCCTTTCTAAAAATGGTTTTAACACTTGAAGTAGTTATGTGTGGAATTAGTTTGTTAACCTCTAGTAACTCTTTAGTTTGCTGTTTTAAGTAATACTTCTCTGTATGTTGTGTTGAATGTCTCCTTACCTTTGGAGGGGGAAAGTGGGGTTTATCTTTCTTAGATAGATAAACTTACACTGTGCAGTGGAGTCTTCAGGTGGATTTTGCAGGCTTCACTTCACCTCCCTTGTGCAGAGGAGGATCCAGGGTGTCGGGTCTGTGAGGCCATCTCCTGCTTTGCCTGTTCAGCAGGTTAAGCAGGGTACGCTCTGCCTCTGGAGCCAGCCATAGAGCATTAACAGGTCTTGAGCATGCGGCTTTCCAGAGGCTGCTGCTGTGAGACATCCCAACTGTACATCCCTCGGGTAACACCTCTGACAGCAGCATTGGAGCTGTGACTCTGTGTGCCTAAATGCTTATGATAACACAAGGCACATCCCCAGCCTGGAGTAACATGCAAGGCAATGTGTTTATATGCCATTGCTTCGTTGCTGGGTGTGCCATGAGAAATTCTACGAGGGTCTGGGAAAGAGGGTGGAGGGAGTCCCACTTGACCCAAATAACCAAACCTGGCTTGAATTTATTTAATGCATTTGCATGGCACTCTTCAGGAAGTTAAGGATGGCATCCATGGTCCATGCACACACATACGCATTTATCCTCACAGCAACCCTGTGAGGAAGGTAGGGCTGAGAGAGAGAGAGAGAGAGACTAGCCCAGTTTCACACAGTTGACTTCATGTCTTCATGGGGATTTGAACTCAGTATGGCTGTGAAAGTTGGACCATAAGGAAGGCTGAGTGCCCAAGAATTAAGGCCTTTGAATTGTGGTGCTGGAGGAGACTCCTGCGAGTCCCTTGGACCGCAAGGCGATCAAACCGGTCAGTCCTAGAGGGGATCAACCCTGACTGCTCTTTAGAAGGCCAGATACTGAAGATGAAACTCAAATACTTTGGCCACCTAATGAGAAGGAAGAACTCCCTGGAGAAGATCCAGATGCTGGGAACAATTGAGGGCAAAAGAAGAATGGGACGGTAGAGGATGGGGTGGCTGGATGGAGTCACTGAAGCAGTCAGCATTTATTTATTTATTTAGCGGGCTTATATGCCGCCCCATTCGCCTAAGCCTCGGGACGGCTTACACAAAAATAAATATAATTAATACAATAAAATGCAATTGGAGACATACTGGCCACAGTTGTTAAAATCAATAAATAAAATCAACAGTTAAAATGCCATTTAAATAAAAAGGTCTTGGCCTGGCGCCGAAAAGCAAATAACGGCGCCAGGTGGACCTCTCTGGGGAGCGCATTCCATAGGTTGGCCGCCACCGCAGAGAAAGCCCTCCTCCAGGTACTTTGCCTCCTAATTTCCTTCACGGAGGGTTCCCGGAGAAGGGCTTCTGCCGCCGATCTCAAGGGGCGGAAGGGCACATATGGACATAAGCGCTCCTTTAGGTAACCAGGACCCAAGCCATTAAGGGCTTTATAGGTACTAACCAACACCTTGAATTGGGCCCGGACTTCATTGGGAAGCCAGTGAAGCTGACAGAGGACTGGGGTTATGTGAGAGTAACGCCCAGTCCCCGTCAGCAACCTGGCAGCTCTGTTTTGCACCAATTGAAGTATCCGGACCGTCTTCAAGGGCAGCCCCACGTAGAGCACATTACAGAAGTCTAGTCGGGAAGTTACCAATGTGTGAATCACTGTCGCCAGGCAGTCGTTCTCCAGGTAGGGACGCAGCTGGTGAATCAGCCGAAGCTGAAAGAAAGCACTCCTCGCCACCGCTGTTACTTGAGCTTCCAGCGAAAGCTCTGGATCGAGGAGCACTCCCAAGCTGCGGACCTTGTCCTTCAGAGGGAGTGCAACCCCATTCAGGACAAGGTCAAGGTCCCCTTCCCCAAAGCCTGAACCTCCGTCTTGTCTGGATTGAGCTTCAGTTTATTGGCCCTCATCCAGCCCATTACCTCGGCCAGGCACCGGTTCAGTACCCCCACTGCCTCACCTGGATTGGTGGAAAATGAGAGGTAGAGCTGGGTATCATCAGCGTACTGATGGTTCCGCAGCCCACACCTCCTGATGACCTCTCCCAGCGGTTTCATGTAAATGTTGAACAGCAACGGGGACAAAATGGACCCCTGCGGTACTCCATGGCATAACTGCCATGGCGCAGAGCCATAGTCCCCCAGCACCACCTTCTGGAATCGGCCATTGAGATAGGAGCAGCACCACTGCAAAGCAGTGCCTCCAACCTCCAGTCTTGCTAGCCTATCCAGAGGGATACCATGGTCGATGGCATCGAAGGCCGCTGAGAGGTCCAGGAGGACCAACAGGGACACACTCCCCCGTCTCTCTCCCTGCACAGGTCATCATACAGGGTGACCAAGGCAGATTCGGTACCATACCCGGGTCTGAAGCCGGACTGAAATGGGTCCAGATAATAATTTGGCATGAGCTTAAGCGGACTCCGGGGGATGGTGGAAGACAGGAGAGCCTGGAGGAATGTTGTCCAAGGGGTCGCGATGGGTCAGACACGACTTCGCGACTAACAACAACTTCCCTGCTCTATGGCATGTTAACTCTGCATGCTGTATTCCACAGAGACTGCCAGACATGTCTACTGCTCTTCTAGGCTCATCTAAGCCTTTTAGATGTTCTCACTTGGTGTAAAATAAGGCAAGTTAATCCATGTGCATTATAATTATCCTCAGTATGAAGTCTGAGTGCTCAGAATGATTCTGCCCCTTGAGTTTAGCACATTAATGTGAACTAGAAATCCAGATAATGTGTTGACTCATTGTCCTTCTATGCTTGACTGACTGTTCACTCTTTCATACCTATTTGCTTATCCTACAGCAATTCCCTGGATCTGCAGGACAAGCTCCAGGTGCTCCACCAGGGGCTTATCCTGGTGGCCAATATGGAGGTGGAGCCCCTCCTGGAGGTCCCTATGGTAGGCCAGCCCCTGGGGGGCCCTATGGGCCACCAACTGGTGGAGGCCCTTATGGCCCTCCTTCCTCTGGTCCTCCGGGTGGGATGTATGGAGGCAGCGCAGCACCAGGAGGACCCTACGGGCAGCCCTCAACTAATCCATATGGTGCCCCTCAGCCTGGACCCTATGGCACAGGAGGTCCCGCAGGTAAGCATGGAAGTACCTGTAACTGTTAGAATGATGTTGTGTTTCATGATCATTTGTTACTTGGGGAGCATTGAAAATGGTTTGTAAGTTCTCATGGCACAGCACCCCATGTATTGGTGGAATAATGTGGCCCATTTATCTGGGGTTGCTTATCACACTGTCTTTTTCAGTGAGCAAAAATGTCATACCATGTTTGCCATTTTTTTCTCCATGCTGAGGGTGGAGGAATCGGCCAAACTCGCCTCTCCCCCCACACCACTTTTACTGTTGACAATTGACAGTGTTTGCATTGCAATGACAAACCAGGGTTTGTTGAATTGTAGGCTGCTATGTGTGAACCTGGAGGTATGCATTAATTTTGAATTTTAACAATAAATTATGCACAGGGACAATCCATGATTTGTTGTTGCGGTTGTAAACTGTGGGTGGTTTAAACTGTGCATTTTCATCCTGTGCAAAACCAGAAGTATTCATGGGTTATTTTGCTGAACTACAGAAGGATCAGCCAGGAACAAACAAAAAATTTGGCCTCTTTGCTGGTGCTGCCAAGGCTGTTGGAGGTACATGGAGGGAGCCACTGAAGAAAGAGGGAAACAAAAAGTTCAGGGACTGAGAAAGCAAACTGATTGTTTCTTAATGTCAGACAAAACTTGGCTTAAATAAACCATGGGTTTGCATTATGTGTGAACCATGTCATAGTCTCACACAGAGCCACAGAAACCTGTAGTTTCCTCCTCCCATTTGCCCTTTATCCCAACGCCTGAACACCAAAGTCTGCTTGGTTTGAAAACTGAACTACAAAAAGAAGAACCTGAATTTTAGTTTTGGCCATAAAGGACTAGAAACAATTTAGTTTTGCCATAAAGGACTAGAAACAATGTATACTATAAATATGTGGTGCTAATTTGGGCTGTGTGCACGTATGGCCTTTGGTTGTTTTAAGCAAGCTGTCGCCTGGCCACATACCGACTGCACCAAGGCCCACGAAGCTTCAGCAAGATTGCTGCATGCTCTGAGCCTCTCACTGTGAGCAGTCCCTCCTCCCCAAACAAACCACTAATACAAGCTCATTTATGCTTTTGTGGACTAGGCACACTTTGCAAAGCTGGGTGAAGTATGTTTGGAACGGTGAGGATGTATTACAGGCATCACATTTCCATTTCTCTTCAAGATTCATATGGCCTCCAGGAGCTCTGTGGCTCGCCTAGTCTCCCAAGAGTTGCACTCTGCTGTTTGTAAAGTGCTTCAAGGACCGAAGCCTTCTATCTTTGGCATCTGTCACTTAAAACCTCATGGTGTGCATCTGGCGCCCTTGACACATGCCTTGTACCGCAGAGTTAGAGAAGCAGTCACTAATTGCATTATTCATCTCCATTTAGACTGGTGGTTAAGAAAGATGCCCCCATTGCATTATTTAAGACTTCAAGGTAGGAGCTGAAAAGCACCAAAGCTGCCACCTTGAGTGGTGGAAATAAAACTTTATAGCCTTGCATCTGTCTCCTGTAACTGGGTAGCTGCTGAAATGATATAACTGCCACATACTTGCACTCAATTTTACAAACTCAGAAGAGACCTCACTTGTTTTCCTTCTGTTTTTACAATATTTCATATCTCAGATCTTGGCCAGGGTTAAGCCTGTTTCCACAGGATTAATATCTGGGCTATTTTTTAAATCCTTTCAGAAAAGAGGGGCTGAGCAAACAGGCACAAGGCAGGCCCCACCTTCTCCTTCCTGCTTTAGCTTCCGGAAACCTGCTGAGCTGGGTGTTCACTGTTAATGGTGGCAGGCATTTACTTGCCTTGAAGAACAACTGTGCTGTTCTCCGACTGTACGTTTTGCCTTTCCTCATCAGGCAGCGTCCCTCCAGGGGTGGACCCAGAAGCCTTTTCTTGGTTCCAGAGCGTAGATTCCGACCGCAGCGGTGGCATCTCAATTAGAGAGCTCAAGGAGGCCCTCGTCAACAGCAACTGGTCCACTTTCAATGATGAAACTTGCTTGATGATGATGAGTGAGTCCAGATTTTGAGAATCCAGATGTGCTGAGCATCATATGGAGGACTAGGATGCTGATAGGTTCTTGCTCAAAGTCTCCCAAGGTACTCTGTAGTTAGATATGGCTCTCAGCATACAAAGGGTGCTTGTGCTGTGACAATTCTGTGAGATGCAACAAATCTTGCATCTTGGGGCCACTATCCTGCAACAAACTTGTGTTTGACTGGGGCCACTATCCTTTCCTGGCTGCCATGCCCCTGCGGTTGCCTTCCCCTCTGAAGCTGAACACACACAAGTGCCATAACGCTTGTCTGTCTTCTGTGTGCACCTCCGTGCCAGTGTACCAAGTTGCTCTTGTGGTTTGGGAGAATCAGGCTGGCTAGCAGCTGCTTCCTCAGCTTATCCAGCCTCAGGCTGGGAGTTCTTGAGACGGGGGAGCCCTGATCCAGCAAAGAGAATGGATACGATCTGTCAGTGAGGGCTTTGCCAGTGGCTCAGTATGTCCACACAGGACAGCCTCAGCAAGTTGTTCTTGCAGCCCCTCTCAATCTTGCAACATGGTTGCAATGAAAGAATCCAAAATGCTGGCTTAATGGAATATTGCCCCATAAGGTATATAGGATGCAGTGGTCACCTGAAATGAGCGGTATTAATGCGGAAGATGCTGGCAGTATTGTTCTTGAAGCTCTCACCCTTTCTTTCCTTTCAGGAAAGAGAGCACATGGGAGCACAGAGTTTTCCCTCAGTAGAAATTTGAGAAGTGGGCCAGGGACAAGGGCCATGTTGTTTGGGTATGTCTTTAGAGCAGGTCAGATGGAAGAGAACAAATAGGCGCAAGGAGGTGCTCCCTATGCATGCCTTAGTTAGTGCTGAAAGAGCAACTCCACTTTAACAGTTACGTATGCCATCCAGAAGATGTTTCCAGACTGCCTGGGGAAGTTTTCCAACTGCTGCACAGACCCAAGAGTAACCCTATACTTGCCCTTGCTATCCCAATGTAGCATGTAGATAATGTGGTAAAGGTTAGACTGGAGACAAATACTAGTTTTGAAAAGTGTTGTAAATGGTACAATGGATGCCTTTTTTCTCTTAGAATACAAAGTTTTAGTCCCACTTTTTCTGCTCAAGTAGGCATATTGCAGACTTCTGAAATGCGGCAGAACTTTCCAAAGCTAGTTGGCCAAACTCATATGTGGGAGCACTCCGGCATGCCCCTCACTTCTTGGCGAAAGTGGAGATGCTTTAAAAGTCTGTACCTTGCTCAGTGTTTTTTTATTTCTTGTTCTGGTAGACATGTTCGATAAAAACAAGTCTGGAAGGATTGACCTTTATGGGTTTTCGGCCCTGTGGCGCTTCCTCCAACAGTGGCGAAATCTCTTCCAGCAATATGACCGTGACCAGTCGGGAAGCATTAACTTGAATGAGCTGCACCAAGGTGAGACGTGGAAGGACGGTGGTCTTTGGAGCCTCAGCCAGATGTTCCTGGCCTCGAGCTCAGGCATGGACTCAATGTAAGGGGTTGGCGCTGCCTGCCCTCAGGCTCAGAAGCTACTTGAGGGCAAGCCCGAGGCAGCTGCCACTTGAGTCTCTGGCTGATCCCAGGTGCAAGCTCACACCTGCAAAGCTCCCGCGGTGGGGAGGGCTTACAGCCCGGTCAGGCTCCCATCGGACTGGCCTGGCTCCTTAGGTCTCTTGCGGATGGAGGGCTTGGAGAGCAGGAGCCTCTGACAGCAAGGGTGGCTGAGCAGAGGTGTGCAGGGCTCACACGGCCCATGGGGAGGGAATGTTGCTCACAGGGAGAGCAGCTGCTCTGCACACAGGCCTGCCCAGCAGGGAAGAGCCCTGCCCGAGACCCAGCGCCAGTCTGTGCTGACAGTCTGTGCTCCAGCTCGGTACAAAGCAGCAACCCAGGCCATTCTGAGCGAGTTTGTCAAACCAAATGCAAGGCCCTGGCGTGGCGTGGCGTGGCAGCGGGACAGGGGTGTGCTCAGCATGCGATTGCTGCGTGTAGAGGCGGAGGAGAACCTGTTTAAGGGGGATGCTGAGAGTCACAGGTGCGGCCCCAGAGTGGAGGGTGGAAAGGTCACTCAGCCAGCAACCTTAGGAAAGCTCACAGCTCCTCAGTGTTTAAAATCTGGACAACTGACAGCTGTGCTGGCATTGAGGAAGTGAGAGATGCTTGACCCATCTGCAGTGCCCCCAGCTGAAGCATGGGTTTTCCGTGGCATTCTCTGTTGCCTTTCTCGCAGCTCTCTCCCAAATGGGGTACAATCTGAGCCTGCAGTTTTCCCAGTTGCTGCTGTCGCGTTACTCACAGAGGGCCAACAATCCTGGCATTCAACTGGACCGCTTCATCCAGATCTGCACCCTGCTCCAGACCATGACTGAAGCCTTCCGGGAGAAGGATACGGGCATGTCGGGCAATGCACGGATCAGCTATGAAGACTTCCTCATGATGTCAGCCACTCGTATGTTGTGAGGCCTTTTCCTCTTAGAGAGCAAGGGGCGTGAGTGATCTTTCCGGAGACTTGGCACTTCCGGCACAGGCCCAGAAGGAAGAATCTGTGGTCCGCACTGTCTAGAAGATGCTGTGTTAAGAAGGACAATGAGATTGAGCCTTTCATCATTTCTAAACAGCCACATTGCCAGATCAATTCAATTCTGGGAGGGTCGACGGGTTCAAATTTGATTACAGTGAAATAGGCATTCTGCGCAGCTGCTAAGAGCCAAACGACAAGCAGCCGGCCAAAACTGTAGTGACGTGCAGTTCCACCATGGCCGCCACAGCGAGGCTTCATGTCTGCCCCCAGCCAAGACGTGTCAGGTACCTTCAGCCCAGGCTTCTATGCCAGCTTTAGGGATGGTTGCCAGGCAGCTTGAATAATGCCTCATCCTCCTGAATTATCCTTCTGGAGCTTCCTGAAACTTAGTACAGGTCTGTCTTGAGCGCTCTTGAATTACCAAAGCAGAAAACAGTACCAGGGAGAGCATTGGGTGCTGACGCTGCTGTCTTCGCAGAAAGGGGCCTGTACTTCGTGGTGTCTGTTTCAAGCCAGCTCTGCATTTTGCCATGAGAAGAGCTGAGATTTCAGACTTCTCCTCCGCAGGCACGTTTTCATGAAGCTCTGGTCCCGTCCTCCCCAGTCAACCTGGTCCCCACCTTTCCCTTTGCAGTGCTAAATGGCAAGCTTTTCTTGCCAACAAATAATTTAACTTGTTCACTTTTCAGTTGCCAACATTTTGCTTGTGATTTTCTTTGTGGGGCCAAAATCATGGATGGTAACATGTCAGGAAGAGATGTATACCTAAATAAAACTGTACAATAAAGGTTCCTAAGCACTAAGAGATGCTTTTCCTCCTTGTGTTTTTCTTTTTTGCATGATGCAGTATATTGTGGGGACAAGATGGGATAGCCTAATATAGAATTACCCTGAGAAGTCAAGACAAAAGTGGGTGATCCCAGTCCAAGAGACTTTCCTTGCGCAGGACATACACATCAAACTGGCAGTCTTTGGATAAGTATAAATTCTGGGTGGAAAATCCCATCTTTTTGCCTAAAAAAGAAAAGGTTACTGGTTTTCATGTTGCAGAGAACATGGAAGTGTGGAAACACATCAAGCAGTTCATGCCTGGAAGAGTGCCTGCTTTCTCTCCCGTTGCCAGCTCTCTGCTTCTGTCATGTGCCCAGTATTCATATTCTTTCCATCCTCACATTTGTTTCCAGTGCTTTAAATTTACATTTAAAGCTTCCATATAGCCTGAAGTGCCTGATCCTATATATTCTTGGAACTAAGCAGGGTTAGAATCTGGATGGGTGACCTAAATGTACAGTAGTCCCCCAACATTCACAGGGGTTGCGTTCCTAGAGCACCCGCGAATTGTGAAAAACCGCGAATTTTGAATGTGGTAAAAATGCCTTTTATAGTTAAAACCCTAAATATGTCGCTGCCTCATTCTTCTTTATGTAGCGTACAGTGCTTTCATTGATGCCATAATGGAGCACTACTGTGGCATAACTTTTTAGTTCCCGGAGCAAATCCAGTAGTTCAACTTTCTCCTGGAGTGTTTTAAACTTCTTCTGGTGCTTAGGTTCATTGCCAGAAGCCTTAAAAGGTGTGGGGCATTTGGGCAGCATCCTAGGGCTTCAAGAAGAACAAAATGAGAACACTCAGCAAACACCGGAGATCCATCACAGGGCAGCAGCCAATCAGCGGTTTCGCAAAATTGCGGGGGTTTCCGTGAACAATATTCATTCGGTTCCAAGGAAAATTCCACGAAAGAGAGGCCGTGAACGCTGAACTGCGACTTCATGGGGGTCTACTCTATATGGTTCTATGCTTATTCTTGTAAACTGCCCAGAGAGTTTCAGCTACAGGGAGTATAGAAATTAGTAGTGGGGAGGGGGGTCAGGGGTTGAGGCCACACCTTCTGAACTAAAAGTCCCTATTCCCAAATGCCAGAAATTTTATTTATTTATTTATTTATTAAAACATTTTTATGCCGCCCCATTCGCCGAAGCCTTGGGGCGGCTTACAACAAAAAATTAAAATAACATTTTAAAATATATACATTAAACTACAAATATATAATATAAAACATACAATATAAAACAAGCCGCCCTGGCCAAATAAAATTCAATAATATTAACATTTAAAATACTGCTTAAATAAAAAGGTCTTTGCCTGGCGCCGAAAAACAAATAACGACAGCACCAGGCGGACCTCTCTGGGGAGCGCATTCCATAACTTAGGCGCCACCGCTGAGAAATGGGGGTGATGGTGGCCCAGGATGAGGGGAGCGGCACTGTCCGTCATTCTTTTCTGCCCTCCCATCGGCTCTGGAACTCAAGAGCTGCACAACTTTTATCCCCACCGCAAGGTACAGGGTGATCAGCTGCATTTTTTGAACATTGGATGATACTGATGCATCCATATCTCTAAAGGTTGGATGACTTGTGCCCTTTAGACGTTTTGGCCCACAATTCCCGTCAGCCCTAGGCAGGATAGCTAAAGAAGGGGGATGATGGGAGTTGTAGTCCAAATCATCTGTGAGGAGGGCACAGGTGGCCTACTTCTGACTTAACCGAGATTGCATTAAAAGTAGGGATTCCAGTGGGAAAATAATGAAAGGAGAACAAGCTTCTGAAGTACTGATCACTAACCCTGTACAGACTTCCATATATAATCAGCGGTTCTGAGGATGTTAGCACTAGAAAGGGTAGTGCTATTCCACTTAGGGTGGGCCTCTTCCTGGCCCCCTTCTCTCTGCTAAGCTGCCTTTGGATGAGGAGGTGCCATCGAGCTATCCTGGCTAACACTTGCAATGCAGTAGTAGGCAGAGTGAATTAACCTACACAATAGCAGGATCTTCAGACTTTGGCAAAGTCAGTCCATCCTCTGCCCCAGTTTAGAGCTTACCCTCTCCAAGCTGGGACAGGCCGTGCATGAGGGATGCTTTCCTTGTGTCACTTGCAGCAACATCTCCGGGGTGCTGAATCGGCTCCAAGCGCTCAAACTTGGGATATTTCTTTAGATCGAGAACTTCTGTTGGAGTGGTCCAATACCTCCTGGACAGAAGATTTCACAGCTAGGGAAACAGCAAGAGAAAGCTGCTTTAACTGTTGCTGTAATTTCTCTTGTGAAAACAAACTGTGGGGATAGGAGGAATCAACCATGCAAATGATGAGATTAACTTTTCGCTTTGAAAGAAAATTGGACTGCTAATTACCCTTTTTGCTCTTAACGAGCGGCTTCCTCATTAGGCATGGTGTGCAACTCCAGCTACAGTGCCAAGCAGTTGGCTTTCCTTGCAGTCGGAGAACCGTGTTTTTAGCGTAAAATTGGTGCATTTGCAACAGAGCAAATAGCTCCCACTTGTGTATTTCCAAGAACACATGATGGTTTACGCCTTGGCTTGCCAGATGTGGGTTGTTTGTTTTCACCTCCCTCCAAGCGTACAGCAAAGCAACCTCTCTGCTGGGTTCCCTTTTATATTTCCTCTCAACAAAGAATGTGGATTTGGAGTACCCAAAAAGTGAGGAATAATGCAGTGCACACTGGTCAATGGGAAAGACATTTGGGGAGTGAGCTTTAGCCTGTTGCCTGTGGGTGGAGTGAAGGGGCCATATTGTAGGGACTTAAACATTCAGGAAAGTTGCATGCCCCTTTCTTAAATTTTCAGTTTTTAAAAAAAGTTTCCAGGCATTGTTTCCTTAAACTTCAGACAATGGTGGCTCCCCTTTTTCCTGAATTCAAATGAAGGCTGTTCTATTTATTGTCCAAAAAGTTTGCTCTCGGAGTGCTTAAGAAGGAGCATTACCCCCTTCCACTGTCCCAGTATCTGAGTGGCAGGGATGGGCTTCCTGACTGAAAGGGGTGAGGCCCAGTGCAGTGATCAATAGGGATGTTCTACCGGCATCTCCTCTAGGCAAATCCACTGCCTCTCTGCAGTGAGTGAAGGAGATTAGGCGAGAGCTGCTGTAGAGGATGCGGTACAAGAAGCAGCCCTTGGACCCAAAAGAGGCAAGGAATCGATTAGCCGCTCAGGGCACTTCGTTTGCATGAGAGTACACAGACCACGTGGGATCCATCATGCATTAATTGCAGTATGCAGACTAGGAGTCACTCTTCCAGGTCCAGGTCTTACAGATGAAACTTGGCCATACCAGAAAAGGAGGTGCACGTGGTGAGGACTGATGCCACCTTTGAACCCATTTGGCTAATCTACACAATTTTTAGCCTGCAGTGCCACACCTTGCGCTATGTCCCACTGAAGCTGGGGGGATTAGCCTCTAAGTAGATTTGCAGGGTACTGCTCCAAAGGCGATGTTGGCAGAATGAAGCCTGACCGCACTTCAGGGCACTGCCTTCAGTTGCGATGGAGGGAGAGACCCACCAGACTGAGCCAGTTCCCCAGATTAATTTACAGTACTTCCTGCAACACTACTACAGTTTTGGAACTCTGGTTGGATTTTATTTTATTTTAGTGGATTGAAGCATGTGTATCAGACCTTCCATTTTAACAATACCCAAGGTGTGGATGAACAATGTGAAGTTTACAGTCTGTCAAGCATTCAGAGAAAATTGATAAAAGATGTTTTTCCGGTGATTTATTACTCCAAAAGATAGAGAGAAAATGGACAAGAATTACATTGGGAAGTGTTGGAAATATAAAGGAGTAGATGGAAGTTTTTGCCATATGTGGTGGTCATGTGAAAAAAATCAAAATATTTTGGAAAGAAATACATACAGAAATACAGAAAATTCTGAAAACTAATATCCCCATGACTGCCAAGACCATGTTGCTGAGCATTGTACCAGAAACTCTGCCAAAGAATATGGTAGAGTTATTCAGATATATGGTAACTGCAGCCAGAGTCATAACTGCTTCAAAATGGAAAGCAGAAGATAACCCAACTATTGAGGATTGGAAAAAAAAATAGCAGACAATGCAGTGATGGCAAAACTGGCTGTATAAATAGAAAACCAGCCCAAAAATTAATGATAAGTGGAAACTCTACTATGCACAACTTAACTTATAGAAAAAAACATATATATGAACGGAGTGGAACTTTTGAAAATACTGTCAGAGATTAACATTTAAACTAATGCTCTGCTATGATATTAAGGAGAGTTATATAAACGGAACAGCATTGTTGAAAACACTGTTTGGGATTAACTCTCGTACTAATGCTTTGTTGTTATAGTAAGTTGATTTAAAATGAATAAAGCTACTTAAGTATGTGAGAACTGTGGTTAGAATTAAAACTGTTTTAAAATGGAAAGCAGAAGAAATTTAATTATTGAAAACCAGAAAAATAAGTCAGCTATGTAGTAATTGTAAGACTAACCAATTATGTAGAAAGATAACCAGCCGAAGAAAATGATAAGTGGAAATTGTAGTACACACAATTTATTTTAATGGGGATAATAACAATGGGGAAAAAATAGATAAAAAGAGGACAAAATTTTTCAGAAAAATGTTTGAGATTAGAAGAATCTGCAATAAATTGTAATTAACTGTGCCAAAAACGATTGAGTAAAAAGGATAATAATGATGGATTGGCTGCATGATTTTAAATTGACATGCTCTGTGATATTTGTCTAAGAACCCCTGATGGTTCTTTGCAATTTTTATTTGTATTATTTCTTTTTTCTAACTTTACTGTTATTAACATAAAAATAAAAAAATAAAAAACCTTGAGACAGCTAATGATACAAACTATTTGTAAAAGGCAATACACAGCCAACTAAACTCAAACAATGCAGGGATCTGTTCTTAAAAGATCTTGCAGAGATGCTTGGAGAACGCCGTACCCTCTTACAACCATTTCCATGGATTACAGC